TTTCACCATGTTGACCAGGATGGTCTCGATCTCTTGACCTCGTGATCCACCCACCTCGGCCTCCCAAAGTGCTGGGATTACAGGTGTGAGCCACCGCGCCCAGCCTGCTTTTTAATTTTTTAAAAATAATTTCTGCCTGATGTTGGGGAATAGAAACAATTAGTTTGGCTATGTAGGGCCACTGATAAATCAGGGTATTCTAAGATTAACTTGTACAATTCTAGCCATAATTAGAAATACCAAATATATTTTTACCTGTGCAGTGATCCTGTAACGTTCATTTGTTTGTCATGAGGGGGTGATAATTCGGGACTCACACATTTATCTCTATATATTTTCAAATGAAATAAGCATGGATTTAAGGAGGAGCTAAGAGGAAAACCAAATCCTAACCTGTCCTTCATCTTGGAGGACTATTGGTCATGCTTGTGTATTTTATCACGTTGAATCTGTTCATCCAAACATGGCCAATAGTCCAGGCAATCCTAGACAGAAGCTATATATACATGTATACCTATGATCTAGGTATATATATCTTAAATATATAAGATATATATGTGTATATATATTTATAAACTATTTGAAGTTTCACATCAGTTACAGACATTACTTTATCAATGAAATGTTGCTGGTCTTTTATTTGGGGGATGGCTTATTAGCATTTTTACAATTAGTTTTTAATAGCAGCATTTATTTAAGAAGGAAGAAGAAATGTTTGGTGGTACCTTCTGGAATGTACATTAATCTTGTTAATGACGCTACAGTTCATGGTTGGCAAAACAGGACTTTTGAATCGACCTGTATTGTGTGTGTGAGTGTGTATGTGCTTGAGAAAGAAGTCCAAGGCACTAAAGATACATGAGAAGTGCATGAAGACAGGATGCAGGATTTCCTATGATTTTATGTTGTTCTTAATTAGGAAGCATATTGGCAGCAAATGCTAACATGTGTTAGGATATTTAGCTGAATCCAAATAAATGTTTTCTATTACAACTCTGAATTCCATGCCTGGTCGGAACCCGTGTTGTTCTGCTCATGGCTTGCAAAATCCTGTTAAAAGTCATCTCAAGGGCCAATTTTCTGTTGGCTCACAGAGCAAAACTACTTTCACCACATGTTTTCCTGAAGGGTCATCTACAACTCGAGGTGAAAGTCAAAGATTGGAAGAGGATGACCTCTGATCCTGGAACTGCATTGCTTGGTGGTCAGGAGGGGTTCTTAGTAAGCAAAGTGGATTTAATTCCAGAGTCGGAAATGAGTGTCAACAATCCAAAGCAGCATCCTTTCAGCTCTACTACTTTTGGTGGAGGAATAGCCAAGAGAAGAAGATGGAGAGTAACCAAAAAAAAAAAAGTTCTCTAATGTAGCTAGGTAAAGTAGCTACATTAGAGAACATTTGCTTGAGTACATAAGGAACCACGTATAAATATGCTCTTTATTGATTGATTGATTGGCTGATTGGAGACAGGGTCCTACTCTGTCACCCAGGCTGGAGTGCAGTGGCAGGATCTCGATTCACTGCAACCTTCATCTCCCAGGTTCAGATGATCCTCTCACCTCAGCTTCCTGAATAGCTGGGACTGCAGGCACACATTACCATGCCCAGCTAAGTTTTGTATTTTTAGGGAAGACAGGGTTTTGCCATGTTGCCCAGAATGGCTTTGAGCTTCTGAGTTCAAATGATCCTTCTGCCTTGGTTGTCTAACATGCTGGGATTACAGGTGGGAGCCACCAGGCCTGGCCATTTTTTTCTATCTGTGTCTTTTTCACCGTTGTGTCTGAGAAATTTTACATGCTCTCATATATGTGCCTGAAATGATGCAGAAATTCCCCAGGACCAGTCACTTGGTGCTTTCATTTATTAATATTGATAAATCCATGAATCCAGGTTGTAAGGCAATCTTAGGTATGCACTATGTGAGGACTGGATTGCCTGGAGCTCTTCAGCAGTTTTCCACTGCAGGGCCTTCACAAACAAGCTCGTCCCTCTTTCTGGAATATCCCCTCTCCACATTTTGCACCGCCTATCCTCTCACCTGGTTCAGATCTCTTCCCGAATGTCCCCTCTCCCCCAGCTTTCCCTGATCCCTTCCTCATTCTTTCCTCTGTATTTATTTGTTTTTGTTCATTGTTTCTTCCCTCCTCTAGAGTGTCCATTTCAAGAAGGAAGGGAATTATTTTGTTTTTGCTGCTGTGCCTCAATGCCTAGGACAGTGTAAGGAACAGAGAAGGTGCACAACTAATAACCTATTCATTGAATTAACAGGTCCAGTGTGTTTTTGTTATTTGTTACAGATGTGTGTGTAACATTTTCAAAGCCTTGGAAGTTACTAAATTACTTTCCTGCATTTTATATGCAAGGCTCCTGTTATTCCTAATAAGAGTCAGCTGTATATCTAGACTGCGTTTTCAAAAAAAATAATAAATTACATTTCCCT